CGAAAGATATAGCAAGATAAAACACACTGCATTTGAATGCTCACTAGCACTGCCTACTCTCCACCATCCAACATTCCAAGACTTCCCAATCTACTTTGTCGAAGAAATCATTCGTCTAAACAATCAGAATCTTGAGATACTTCTTCTTCTACGCATTTTAAGCTTATTGCTTTTCGCTTATTAGCTTATTGCATGCTCTCAACTTAGTGTTCTAGATGCACTTCCACAGTATATTGAGAGCTTTCGATGCTGACACCAATGCTTGATTTTAATATATTGTGTGGCAAACCTCAGTTACCTCTATGATGATACTCTAATGAATGATGAACAATGTATCTTGAGATACAGCAATACAAACATATTGACCATGAGTGCACACTAACACTGCCTAGCGGCTAAATTCCAGATTGTACTGTACACCATTCAAGAGCCCTTGGTTACACACTTTGAAATAACTTATTGCACACTTGACAGAATCCGTCTTTGATATAAAAGATGAGACGTAAACAAACATGTCACGTAATATTAATTGCTCCGAGACTGAAAAGTTCGTTGCTCGTCGAAAAGTACGTTTGATTGAGCAATATTTCGCGTAAGTTATGACTCAAATTTATATCAAAATTGACGCTCGTTGCATGAACTTTTCTAAGTGTGTACCTGACAAACTTTGCCGAAGACATAATTCATTTAAATACTCAGAATCTTGAGAAACAGTAATTCAAAACATGTTAGCTTTGAATGCTTACTAGCAGCACTTAGCGGAATAATACCAAATTGTTCTGTTCAGCATCCTACAGCCCTTGTCCTCCTGATCAACTTTGCTGAAGAAATCATTCTTCTTAATCATCAGGATCTTGAGATAAAACTAAACAAAATATATTGACATTGAATGCTCACTAGCACCACCTAGCGGGAGAATTCCAAATCGCCCTGTCCACCATTCATTAGTCCTTGAACTCTTGATCAACTTTTTCGAAGAAATCATTCGTCTAAATCATCAGGATCTTGAGATATTGCAGTACCAAACTCATCGAATTTGAATTCCCACTAGCGTATTCTACCTGGTGAAAATTTATTTTTCCGCCATCCGGCAGTTTGAGAATCTGATCAACTTTGCTCAAGTCATCACCTGTCTAAGTGATCAGGATCTTAGCTGTTATTGAACTAGCATTAATTTGCGTCCCAAAAATTTCAGAGAAGTTTCGAAAACATTAATACAATACATTGTGGTTAATTTTTTAACGTAGATGATTTTCTTTAATTAAATCAGAAATGAGCTAAGAAATAAAATCCGAGCATAGAAAATTGCGAACAATACAACAGCGGAAAAAAAAGACCCCAGTGTACTTCAATGACGAAGAACTTGCGGGACGAGAGCTTGTCAAAATGATGATCTTCCATGTATTAGGTATGGGGTAATGCGCTACGAAGAGGGGCGAGTCTTAAAATAATTTAAAATGCTAAGTCATTGAATTTTCAAATTTTTACTGCCAAATTCTTACAACTTCCGACAAGCTTACAAAACTTCTGAAAGGTCTACTGAACTTCCGACAAGTTAACAGAACTTTTGAAAAATCAAAATAGCTTCCGGCAGTCTTACAAAACTTTCGCTAAATTCACAGATCTTTCGATAAAGCTGTGGCAAACTAGATTACAGCTGAAAATTACGTTAATACAGACTGAAAAAAACATTTCGATAAATTCATGAGTAAAACTTACTCCAAGATATAAGCGTATAACATTCTTAAATTTAATGGATCTTTCAAAAAGCATATAGAACATCCAACAAATTTCCATCAATTCCGACAAGTTTAAGATCGTTTAGATTCCCTGAGTTTCCAAGACAAATTTACAGAACATTCGACAAGTTCAATAACTCTTGAAGCCTCACTGAGCCGTAGAACTTCATACATCTTCAGTTCTATTTCACTAAATTATTACACAGTTTTCTCAAAAAAGTGTATTGTTGAAGTGATTAATTTATTTACAAAGCGGAAAATAAACCATCTCTCCCAGGACTCTCAGAACCTGTTCCGGACACACCATAGGCGATCGAAGAAATATCCTAATGCCCATACATTTCTAAAAACAACGATATGCAGCTCGATTAGTTTCTTTTGGAGTGAAAAATTGACCACCAGGGCTCCATCACATGACCCTAGTGAGTAACGGAATGAATGAGGTCACGCATCTCAGCAATCACTGAATGGAATTGTACAAACTAAACGAAGATGTGGTATTATTACAGGGTTTTGGAATCGTTCAAATTACTTTTATATTCAAGAACAAGACCAACGTTGGCAATATTGAGTGCTTTAGACCTAATTGGTGACTTTCAAGAATGGGGCCCTTCAATTATTACGTTAGCATTTAAGTAGTTCGGAATAGTTATAAAATTAATGGCAATTTGATTAAGACTTGACGCAATCCAAAATTCCTGAAATGCTTTCTATCATTTCGTATTTCATTGATAGGAAATACATTCCTGTCATTCTGCCATCTTGCTAAAGATAATTTGATATTAGATTTGCATATGTGCTGAAGTTTCAATGTAAAAATTTCTGTTTTTGGTTTTCAATTTTTCTAGATGGATTTTTTTCCATTTCCAGGTTGTGTCACCGTTGTTCGTGACGTTGTTGGGCTTGGGCTGCTCGGATTTCCATCATCCGCTTAGAAATTTGCTTGGTGTAGTGAGCCATAGCGTCGAGCTTTTTCGCTTGAATTTTAAAAAGTTCCAACAGATCTTTGTGGAAATTCAGCTGCTGTTCAACTAGCGTTTCCAGCAATCTCAAACTCCGCAGGCCAAGTTGTCTTGAGCGGATGGGCTCTTGGTGAACTTCAACTTCAGATAATTCGTCGACTTGATCATGGCCCACAAATGAACCACTGTTATTTTGGTCCGCCGCAGGAGCAGCCACAAACGAGAGCGATAACCCTTTCTTCAAGCGAGATCAATTCGACTATCTTGTTGGGGTCGCCCGCTGTAGCTTGCTGCTCCCTTCGATTGTGGGCCAACCTCCACTTCAAGTTTGATTTTCAGTTAAACCAGACCTAAAATGTCAACATGAAAATTAGATAAGATTGTTTATTTCATTTGCCTTTTTCCATGCAGCAGATTTTTTTTTCAGGACCGCCAAGGCTGTTTAAATCTCCAGCTAGATATTTCCAGAATGCTCCTGTATCAGATCCAGTAAAGCCTCTGGCTATATCCGGATGTTCTTCCAGAAGATCCACCATCCTGGTTTTACGTAGTGCTTTTGCCTTTCGGTCTTTTCGACCTAAAAGAAAAAAGAAATATCACAGTTATCAAGCATCACTTTGTAACTATGTAATCACATAATTCAATCCAAAACACAAAAAGGGTGTTTACTTGCATGATATGCAATTACTTCAAATTGGCTTGTAATCCACGCATAGATTAATGAACAAATTAATTCAAAAAGGCCTTACACTCTGGCCCGACTCCGATGCACTTTGCTATGGAATGCTATGCGTGATCCGCAAGTCTCGAGTGACGAATGGAAAATCAACAAAACAAACTCATTCGAACGAAAATGGGAATTCTACAATTTGTTCGAACGAACGATGTTCGAAACTCTGAATGGTTAGAAATGGTTCGAACGAAAACAGGAATACGAATGGGGGAAACTTTCGAACGTTTTCTATTCGAACGAAAACAAGAATAGAGATGATTGAGAAAACTATTTTTGCAATCGTCACTGGAAGAATTGATTCTCACAAATGGCTTCGCCAACAAATTATTAATTTTTTCGTCAATTACAATGTATCCCAGGAGAAGGGGCCAGTTTATGACTTGGAGAAGTTCATTGGGAAGAAGGGTCTGATCTCACCATAGGTGAATTTTGCCGGTTAGCATGGAAATGCATTGAGTTTGTTCCCGTACTTGCTTTTTTGCTTTTGTTGTAAGTTGCTGTAAGAAAATAATACACGAATCTCCACCGCCAATTCTCTATAGTCTTGCAACAAATTAAGCTGACTTTTCGTGAGTGTCAAGTTTGGGGTTGACCTTAGGGCCCATGCATTAATTATAACACGCTAAATCGAGGAGAAATTTACCCCCCCCCCCCTATCGTGACGTTTTTCCTATACCTAATGCATTGCTTGTTACAAAATCTTAGACCACCTCCACCCCCCCCCCCCCCCCCTAGAGCGTGACATAATATATGCATCAACCCTTAATCACATACAACAAATCAGGTTGAAATATTTCTGGGAAATGGCGGTGGGTAGACGGCACTGCCCGTCGTGCAAATCGCAGATTCCGGTATTATTTTCTTACAGCAACCTACAGCAGAATCAAAACTCTAGTACGGGAACAAATCTGTTGCTTCAGAAAATATAGATACTTAACAAATAAAAACGCTGCGAATTGCTTCGAGATAAGAGCATCAGGTTGCTGAAGTACACGTAGAACAAATCCGCTCTGAAGGAATCTTGACTGTAACCTGAATTTTCTTCATTCTACCAGCGCTTCACCAAAATGAAACAAAGCGAGGCTTCGTTTGAACGCTGACAATTGCAACGGTGAACAGGAAATTTACGGCTTTTATGGTACTCTAAGCCAGCCAGACAAACAAGTGGCTCTCTACTGATTCATTATTCTGACTTTATTCCGTTGCTCTTTTGTTTACAAATTGGGATTCTAGCTAACAACTAACCATAGAAGTACAATCTCATCAACCGAGACCTTGAAAATGATCTCAAACTCAAGCATATTAACCTATAAATGTTCATTGTTACCGAAAACTACAACAGCAACAAATTTTCGCAAAAAGCAATTTAACTTGCAACTCCCGGAAGAATTGCTCGGTCACGAACTCGTTAACGCGGGTGGCAGCATGCATCACACTGAGAAACAACTCGTATACCAATTACTCATCCCAGTCTAGCCTAACCTAGAGGAATACACAGCGCGCTATGCAAATTAGCCAACTTGCCATTCATTATCGCTGTGCTGTTTTTCTCCTTCTCATTCGCAGGAACGACGACGACGACGACCGACGGACGTGGCTTGAGCACATATCATGGAAACGCTCTACACCGGACATATCCACGGTTTTCCACCGGCAGCCAACGTCTCGTACGGATCCCTGAGCATGACCTGGGGTTCCCAGGGTGGCCTGATTGCGCTGGGGGTCGTCCTCGGGAGCTCCGTTAGCCTGGTGGGGCTGGCGTTTGCCTTCATCACGTACAGGTGAGTTCCGGTAAAGTGGAGTTTAGAGAGCGATCATTATGATGGTATTTTTTTTTTCTTGTTGTTGTTTGCATTTGGATTAAAACTTGTTTTGTGTTCTGGCTGTTAGTGAGCCGGTACAAATGTATGGTATGACATCATTTCGAAGAAGGAAGGGGTATAACTAGGTGATTGTGATTCATCATGCAACTTCTTGAGGTGTACTGAGATTTTCTGAGTTGCACAACTATTTATGACCATGGTGTCTCTGGTAGGATAACATTATTATGAAAAAAATTTGCATCGCTGAAACACCCAACAAACGTAATCTTAGTGCCTCTCTTTCGTTTGAAGCTAGTTTCAAAATGTTTTATCGGGGGTCATTTTGCAATACATTTTGTTTGGCTTCTATTGGCGAGAGAGTTAAGTTTTGGATGTGATGTACACTGATAAATACGAAAAAATACGAAAATTACCTAGTCAACCGATCCTTATCAAAATTTCAGACAATAAAAAAAAACCCATTAGTAAGCTTTTGGAATACTTATTTCATTCAACTTCAATACCATAACCGTACGCTCGCACCTTACGCTTAACTCCACTCATAAGGTTTTGTACAAAATCTGGCTGCAGCTTATAAAGGGTGATACGGTCAAAATTTGGTCAATATCAACTTGACGTATTTCTTTCAATTTTGCATTTAAAAAACCTGAACACCCCTCATTTTAAAGGTGTGTGTGTGTAGAATGTTGCTCCTATTTTGATTTTGGAATTCACTCTTCAGTTGTCAAAATGCCGTCCAAGCAAGAAGAGCAGCGTATCAAAATTTTGCTCGCGCATCGCGAAAATCCGAGCTACTCGCACGCAAAGTTGGCAAAAGTGCTAAAAGTTGCCAAATCAACCGTTACAAATGTAATTTTAAAGTGTTTGGGGAACGTTTGTCGACAGCCAGGAAGTCTGAATCGGGGGAAAATCGAAAACCGGAAGCCGCTGAGACGACAAAGAGAGTTGCCGGTAGTTTCAAGCGAAACCCTAACCTCTCTCTCCGAGATGCCGCAAATAAGCTGGGTGTATCGTCTACAACCGTGCATCGAGCCAAAAAACGAGCCGGACTATCGACTTACAAGAAGGTAGTGACTCCAAATCGCGATGATAAACAAAATACGACGGCCAAAGCGCGATCCCGGAGGCTGTACACGACGATGCTGACGAAGTTTGACTGCGTGGTAATGGACGACGAAACCTACGTCAAAGCCGACTACAAGCAGCTTCCGGGACAGGAGTTTTATACGGCAAAAGGAAGGGGAAAGGTAGCAGATGTTTTCAAGCACATGAAACTGTCAAAGTTCGCAAAGAAATATCTGGTTTGGCAAGCCATCTGTACCTGTGGCTTGAAAAGCAGCATTTTCATAGCTTCCGGGACTGTCAACCAAGAAATTTGCTTGAAAGAGTGTTTGAATAAACGTCTGCTGCCTTTCCTGAAGAAACACGGTTGTTCCGTACTGTTTTGGCTGGATTTGGCATCTTGCCATTACGGTAAAAAGGCCATGGAGTGGTACGCCGCCAACAACGTGCAGGTGGTTCCCAAGGACAAGAACCCTCCCAACACGCCAGAGCTCCGCCCAATTGAGAAATACTGGGCTATTGTCAAGCGGAACCTAAAGAAGACCAAAAAAACTGCTAAGGGCGAGCAGCAGTTCAAGGCAAACTGGCTTTCTGCGGCGAAGAAGGTGGACAAGGTGGCTGTACAAAATCTGATGGCAGGGGTCAAGCGTAAGGCCCGGCAATTCGGATTTGGAAAAGCGGAAGCCTAACTGAATATTTTTCCTGAATTTTATACTAATTGAACTTGAAAAAGAAATTTAATTTGATTTTTTAAATAAACGATTTCACCGATTTACACGCGTTTTCCCTTGACCAAATTTTGACCGTATCACCCTTTACTGTACGGAAACCCACTTTTTCTTCATGTCTTGCTCAGATTTGACTTGATCTCCTTAGGATGCTTCCGTAGTGCCTGCTTCATAATAGTCCAGTATTTTTCGATGGGCCTTAGCTCCGGTGCATTGGTGGGGGGGGGGGGGGGGGTGTTCATGTCCTTGGGTACGAAAGTGACCCTGTTGGCTTCGTACCACTCCAGGACAACATTTGAATAGTGGCTAGATCCAGCCAGAAGATCGTATGTCCCTCGTGTTGCTTCAACAGAGGATGCAGATGCTTCTGTAGACACTCCTTGAAGTAGATCTCCCCGTTTACAGTCCCGGTAGTCACGAACGGCGCACTCCGTTTGCGACATGAGCAGATCGCTTGCCAAATCGTGGATATCTTGGCAAACTTTGAAAGCTCCCTACTTCCTCCGGAACATCAAACTTGTGCTGGGCGGTGAAGAACAGTAGCCCCGAAAGCTGCCGGAAGTTCGCCTTGACGTAAGTCTCATCATCCATGATGAGACAATGAGGCTTCGTCAGCATCTGGGTGTACAATTTCCGGGCTCGTGACTTTCCAAGCGTATTTTGTCGTTCGTCACAATTTGGAGCCTTCTGCACTTTGTACGTATGCAGTCCCTTCTGGTCCTTGGCTCTCTGAACAAAAGACTTGGACAGATTCAACTTTTTGGCCACATTCCTGACCGAAGCATTGGGATTCCGCTTGAACGCATTCACGACACGCTTGTGATCCTGATCACTAATAGAACATCCATTCTGACCGCATTTCTCCTTCCGTTTGATGCTCAGATTCTGCACGACTGCAGACCGAGGGGGAAGACAGTGAGAAACTCAGAGCAATCCAGAGTAACTCTGAGAAACTCTCTTGCTCTCTGATGAACGCTTGTATTATCTCGATTGTATAGACAGCGCAGCCCAAGCAATCACATTTATCGAAGTTTTGAACTCGCAGGACTTATCCTCAAGTACATGTCCTCACCGGAGCTGGTTGCTGGAAGGGAATATCTATCTATTCGCTTACTCTAAGCATCTGGATGCTCAGTAGTATTAAGGTGGAAATATCCTGTACAATTTCATTACCACTGCAAAATAAAAAGTGTCCTCCAGAAAGCCATCGCCCGTGATTTAAGAAAATAGCCAAAACCTCTATGAGAAATGCAACGGAACAATTTCTGATTGTAAATCCTAAGTTCTCACCAGTAGCAGTCCCATCACGACCCTACCAATTAATTGCAAGTTACACCTATTTCTTGGTCCTTCTTTCCAGGTGACACATGCCCATTCATCGTTCTCCTGTAGCGGGAGGGTCAATTCCCGTGTCCAGGACTAATCTGCACACCAACAACAGCAAAGGAGTCGCAGGGGGATTTGTCATTTTCAGCGTTATGTTATGGTTGAGGTCCTCAACTTGAGGATATGATTGCCAGCAGAGTTGATAACAGAAGAGTTAAGTCCGGACAGTAGTCATGGATGGCACAAGGGTTGAGTGGAAGGAACAAGGGAACAACTGGTAGAAAACGAGATCATTTCCATTATTTAAGGACTCTTATGACGGAATCCATTTTCCACACAATTTGGTTTAACCACTTCGCTATTTCACGGGTACACATCTGGGGATCTACTTAATGGACAAAGTTCAAAATTAATCTACATGTCTGCTGCAGAGAGGCAAGCATTTCATTAAATTTGCCCACCTGTATGACTTCTGGATGGCCAGTGCCAGTGAAAACGCGAAGTGGAGGGACTCCATGAACCTCAAATATTGCATCCGAACTAACATTTGCATGGTCAGATTTCAATGTCTATATGCCAAACTAATTCTGTTTTCGTCGCAAATTAGATCTGATCCCAGAGCAAACCAGAGTAGCTCTGAACAATTGTGAGTAAAAGAGAATTTGAGAGGTACTCAAATGAAAGCCGTCTTCCCCCTCGCTGCAGACCGTTGATTCCGAGTTGTTTTCCTCCCGATGAGATAGTTGAGGATTTTCCAGATGCTGGCGCAAAATCAACGTTGCTTTTCGGATGACTCCATTTTTTTCCAACTTTCGAAAAACTGACAGCGATAAAAATACAGTGTAAATAATACACTCCAAAGTACTTCTACCCAAATTTTAAAGAGAAAATACCCAATGGGTAATTTTCTACAGCTTTTTTTCCGTGATGCAATTTGATGAGGGACACCCTTTAACATTGCTTCTTGACGCCAAACTCAATCTACCGATTCTAAGCTTGGCCTAATGCATTGAAACGGCATTGAAACGCCAATGAATTCACTTCGGCCTGTCGGATCAAGATAAAGATTGATTCGGTCGGAGCCCTTCATTTGTTTTTGAGTATATTGGGTGCAAACATTCATATCACGCGTTCTTATTGACTTCGTTCGGTAGGATTTGAACTAAAGTATCGTAGCAAACGCATAATTTACCTGTTAAAACCTAAATCATGCATTTATTTGATGTTTTCTGCTTGATAGGCCCAAAATGGGCGCTTAGACCGAAGTAGTTCTCTACCATACGTAAAATGAGTAGTAGAAAAAGATCAGACGCTATTTCAAAACTACGCAAATTTGGGTAGAATCCACCCAGATACATCAAAACTGAACCTACCAAAAAATGGGTAAACTGTGTTGGGAGTGACAAGTTGACAAATGGACAACGTCGATTGGATTATCAATCGATTATCGATCGCAGTACAAATAAACCGTCACGGAAGTAAACGCTTCGTCCTTCGATTTAATAAAGTTGTAATTAGTGTTCACGTCAAGGGGTAAGTCACTCAGCACATTGTGTCGGAATTATATTCTACACAGCTTGGGCACATCCATTTTCGGCATACCTTCGGCACAATCTCGTAGACATTAGATTGTTGTAAATAAAATGGGAGCACTGCTGGACAACTGTTATTGAAGTTGTTCAGAACATTACGTGCTGTTTGACTGTATGTTCAGGAACAATTGAATATACCAGAGGAACTCAGACCAGCAGTTCACTTATAGATCTAAATACGAAATGTAGGTTCTAGAGTGGACTTAAGAGGAAGATACAGTTAATCAGACCTCATTAGTACCCTTAACTC